GCTGTATATTTAATTTCTGTAATAGCATGGTATTGAATTGATGAAACATCGAGCTAAATCTGTAAATGCGGCAAATGTCGACTGTCTTGGATGGACAGGTAGAAGCGTCCAAGTGGTGACACTTAACTTTGAATCACCTTGTGAAATTAGCAGCAGCTCTGGCTATTGGGACAGAAACTAACCACCAGGTGGCACTCTGTACTTAAACGCAGAGCAAATGGGTTGCTACCAACAATTTGGTATCCATGCTTAAAAACAGACTTTTCAGTTTGCAAGGCTGCCATCTACCACATTGGGCCATTGCCACATAGATATCACAACTGTCGTCAAACAAATCCAATATTAATGTAATGAATGAGTGTGTGTGTTTGTTTGGTGTGTGTGTGTGTGTGTGTGTGTGTGTGTGTGTGTGTGTATCTGCTTAAAATTCACCCAATATTGTATATAAAACACCAGCAAGTAAGCAAAGAAATTTGTTTCCAGGTAGAAGTGCGTAAGGTTACAGCCTGACTTGGGTTGTGTATAGACATGTACAGGGTTGGGGTGCATGTCTCGCCTCTGGTCCCAAGGCAGAGAGAATTAGCTGCACTTCTTATTCTTGTGGTTCTGGCAGCAGCCTGTGTTTATGCCCTTGGGTTGCATCTGTGTGCTCAGTTCTGTTGAAATGACCAAGATGATTTCTTTTTCCTGGTTTAATGTATTCCAGAGCCAGAGTGCCTTAGACAGGCTTGGTGGCAGCAGTTTAGCTTCTGTTAAGTGTCGAATGTCCTGGGTCAGATTTTTTAAACATATTTTTTTAGCTTTATTTTGTGGGAGGGGTGCTGCAGAGTGGTGTGTTGTCCAGCATGTGCCTCTGGGCAAATTAAGATGGCGGGTGAATGAGTGCAACCCATACTGTGCTTTGTGGTGCCCAAATATCAACAAAGTTTCCTGAAAACAAAAAGTAAGTTTGCAATGGCAGCGGGGCAGAGAGATCTGGCACCTGGCACAAAAGTTCCAGGTAGTAACGAGACAACTGAAAATGTGATGTTCACCCAAGCTTTCGCCCACATCTAATTCTTAGGATTTGAATTTATTATCAGTCAAAAGCTTCTTGCTCCTGTTTCTGCATTAGTTTCGTTGTAATGTTCCAAAAATTTGTTTCAATACTCTTCTGTTGTTTCTAATAAACAGCTGCAATCTGCTTTGGGGACCAGTTTGCTGTGGAAGTGAGATACAAATACCGTATTTCACTGGTCACCACCACGTAATAGTCACAACACCCCTTTTTGGGGCCCTAAAATCGGTCCCAGAGCATCCCCTACATAATAATGGCAGAGGTAATTCTGAGGTGAGCTGGGGGTCAGCCTGGGGGCTCCTGGCGGCTCCTGAGGAAGTGAGGGCTCATTGCTTGCCAGCCCAAGCGGACGTACAGTAGCTGGAGAAGGCAAGGCAAAGCCAGGCCCATTGCGCCGCCTTGGGCTGCACAAAGTCGAGAGGCAAGGAGGCGGTATGGATGCGGGGCTCCTGCTTTAAACAGGCGCCATTGGCTTTCACTTGGATCCAGTCAAGAAGCAGAGGTAGCTGGAGGAGGCAAGGTGAGGCTGCTAATGTTGCTCCTATTGCTGCTGCTGCTGCTCACCTTGGGCTCTCGCTCTGGTACCCAGCCAAGAAGGGGAAGCAGCAGGTGAACCACCTCGGCCACCCGTCTGCAACCCCTTCCTCCACCTCCGCCCCGTAATTTACCGCATAATAGTCACACACGCCTTTTTGGGAAAGGAAAAATGGGCACAAACTATGTGACCATTAAGCGGTCAAGTACGGTATCTCATGGCATCATAGAATTGTAGAATTGGAAGAGATCACCTGAAGGTCACCCAGTCCGAGTCTCAGCTAAAGCACCCATGACAGATGGTCATCCAATCTCTACTTAAAAACCTCTCCAATGAAGGAGAGACCACAACCTCCCAAGGCAGTCCTCTCCCCTTAATCTAGAACAGGCTTCCTCAACCTCGGCCCTCTAGATGTTTTGAGACTACAATTCCCATCATCCCTGACCACTGGTCCTGCTAGCTAGGGATCATGGGAGTTGTAGGCCAAAAACATCTGGAGGGCCGAGGTTGAGGAAGCCTGATCTAGAAGGTAAATTGATACTGGACATTGTGTTCCCCTTAGTAAATGAACACTTCAAGCTCCCTTCCATCCAAGCAGCTATTTTGTTTTTGCAATAAGCATGTGCGGTTTTTTTATGTCTGGAAAAAACAGTTGTTTCCTAATTTTCTTTGCAAGTATGGGTGAGATCTGTTGACCTCTGCACATTGTGAACAGCTACCAAGAGTCCTTTTCCCTTCAAAAACAGGGCAGTTGCTCAAAATAAAACTATTACAGCATTAGACTTTAAAAACAACTTGTCCTTATCTCACCCTTGTGCTTACAACACTGCTATCAGAGAGCTTGATGTAGCGCAGTGCAGGATGACCAGCACAATAGAAGAATGTCAGTCGCCAATGGGTAGGCCACACACACACATACAAAGGGGCCTGATTGTCAGGATTATTTTATTTTTATTTTTACTCCTCCCTTTCAAATAAAAATTACCCATGGTGTCTTCCACAAGATTCATCAAATGGAATAGATACAGGAATGTAAGCTAAAGCAGGCTGAGAGAGACTTGTTCTGACATCCTTTACCTTTTCTGACAGAAGTGTCTTTCTGGGAGTTTTTCTCCACCTCAGGCAACAGTCCACAAACTTCACAAATAGTGTTTCCATGGGGGAAACTGTTGCTTTTATGTTGGTTGACAGCAGGGCTGCTGCTTCTTTTTTCAGCTGGAACTCACCAGAACTCGGTTCTGGAACTTCTCCGGTGGGTGCCTGAGGTGTTCATGGTGAGTTCCGACACCTCTTTTTCCAAAAATATAGCACTGGTTGACAGTACATGCAGCCTGAGCTGTGAACCAAGGAGGAATAGGGCTAGCCCAATTTTGCTGCCCTCCCTTCCCAGATCAAGGCACATTGTACCCACGGCTGGCCAAGTTATTTTGACACCTGAGGCAGTATATCTCGCAAATTCCTCTTTCCTTCTGTGGCAGTCAAAATTAATAATAATAATAATAAACAACTAAGCAGCACTTTTCTGCCATTTAGGACATCCTAAATCAAGTACCTAAGGGACACAGGTGGCGCTGTGGGTTAAACCACAGAGCCTAGGACTTGCCGATCAGAAGGTCGGTGGTTCGAATCCCTGTGATGGGGTGAGCTCCTGTTGCTCGGTCCCTGCTTCTGCCAACCCAGCAGTTCGAAAGCACGTCATGTGCAAGTAGATAAATAGGGACCGCTCCGGCAGGAAGATAAACGGCGTTTCTGTGTGCTGCTCTGGTTTGCCAGAAGCGGCTTAGTCATGCTGGCCACATGACCTGGAAGCTGTCTGCGGACAAACGCCGGCTCCCTCGGCCTATAGAGCGAGATGAGCACGCAACCCCAGAGTCGGTCACGACTGGACCTAATGGTCAGGGTTCCCTTTACCTTTAAATCAACTACCTAAGGCAACTGCTTTACTCTGTCTAATGGTAGGGCCTGACCTTTCAGTTTGTCTGATAGCCGTAGGAGTGGGAATTTCTGGGGAGGCACATTATTGTCTTCTGTTAAAAAGTCATCTACCTTCAGCATGTAAAAATCTCACCCTCTGATTTTACAAGTTCTGATATTGCTTTTAAATTCTATCGTCATTGTGTATGGCATGTTTGTGTTTTAGTATTGTTCTTCGCCACCACTGTGGAAAGGCAGAATATAATTCTGAACGACGTAGAAATAAGCCAGTAAATCTTGCCAGCTGCCTTTTGAAAAAGTTCACCAAAGTTCTCCAGTACATTGGATTTGAGCATGTCAGAGGGAAGGGAGGGGAAGAGGCGAAACGTAAGAGTCAACCATCTGTTACATTCTTGTGCATATAATAATCAGGCATATCATGGGAGTGGCACATTTCTGCGTTCCGCCTAGAGAATGCCTCACAGCTTCCCCACTGCAGATACATTTCTGGAATCTATCCTTTCAGAGCTGTCGCTAAATTGCTTGAACAACAGTCTCCCCTTCAGTTGTCTCACAAAAAGTTATTGATGGCTTCTCGGTTGGGAAACTGAACGTCGTAAAGGTTTGGAGGCAATTCCTGAAGATCATTCTCTTTGATATCATTCAGGGGACCTGCTAATTATTCACCCTCCCGAAAAAGAAAGAGCATTTTTAATGCTGCTGTTAGGCAGCGAGACCCTGGAAAGGGTGTCCAGGGTGGGGGTGGGGGAGGAGAAATTTCACCCCATTCATATTTTTAAGGGAGCTTACCTAATTTGCTCCCCGCAAAACAAGTAAAATGAAACACAGCCCCCTGCTGAAATTAGCATTTTTCCAAATTTTGCAATTCTTCAGCCAAGCAATGGGTACAAAATCACACATATTATGTATATATACTAACAGGGCTGGGGCTTGGCAGCCACAGTCTCCTCCTCCTCACCCACCCTCCAGAAGCCACTATAAGCTGCCCAAGGGAGGAGGCCAGCAGTGGCGGCCATGGAGAGGTCATAGGATGTTCCTTTGCAGCAACTGCAGTTGCATTCACCGTCGCTCAGGACAGGCGCCGGCTCATCCTCCACCCTGAGCTTAGCAACAGCATCACTGGCAGGGGAAATGGGACATTCCATTTTCAAAACAAAAGATGGGATGACTTTTGTAATTCTGGGACTGTCCCTGGAAAATTGGGGCACTTGAAGTGTATGCAATATATGTGTATGGGGAGGAACCTAAATTGCATACGGTCACCACTCATTCTAACTGGAGCGTGCGTTTATGAAAATCTAGCTCAGGGTCCCCAAACTAAGGCCTGCGGGCCAGATAAGGCCCAAGGGACTTGTTTATCTGGCCCGCGGCGACCCCCGCTGCCCGCTCTTACCAGCACTGCGCTGCGCAGCTGCCCACTTCCAGGTCGGAGGAGCACCAGAAACAGCTTGTGTGCATGTGCATACGTTATTTGCGCATGCGCAAGCATTATTTCTGGTGCACATCCGGGTTAGAGGAGGCCCCTAGCACAAGCTATTTCCGGTGCTCCTCCAACCCAGAAGCGCACCGGAAATAGTGTGTGCGCATGCGTATGGGCACATGCTTCCCCCCCCCCCGGCCCGCTGAGCAATTGGCGCTGGAGACACCAGCCCAAGGCGCAGTAAGTTTGCTGACCTCTGGTCTAGCTCCTTGGACACAAAACACCTTTCACTTAGCATGTTATAACTGAGGGGTTTTTCTTTCTATCTTTGGATTGCAACTTCCCCACCAACACCACGTGAAAAGATAGGAGTTTTACCACATCCTGTAGAACTGCCGTTTTAATGATGCTCTGGTCTTCATATATCTCCACAGACAAGTGGCTGTGTTATCTCTAATGTCGTCGCTTAATGGAAGTGGTTTCAAACAGTTAATTTGGAGAAAGGGAGTTGGGGAGATGGATGGAAATAGCTCTGGGTTGTTTTCTGTAACTTCATTTGAAAGGAGTTATAGCTGCTTGGTGTGATTTAGGATATGGCTGTTTTAAGCATCTGGCTCCTGCTTGGGGCTTCAAGTCTAGGAAGAAGCAGTAGCTGGTCTGATTCATCATATCTTCTGTTTCTCCCATGTTTGATGCTGGCTGTGAGTCAGGCTTTCTAAGAAGTGCCTCTCAGACAGATGATCATAGCATCTATTACTGCCTTATGGGAGATGTCTGGTATTCTGATGCCATGCCTGGGTAGAGTTAGCTTTGTCTGCCCCAGGCACCTGAAACATAGAAGGATCGGTGCAGACGTAGAGCTGTTTATAAATCCACATACACAGCATTAAACGAAAGCAATTGGGGGTGCAGGAAGGAAAGAAGGAAAGAAAGAAAGAAAGAAAGAAAGAAAGAAAGAAAGAAAGAAAGAAAGAAAGAAAGGCACTGGGTGTGGAATGAACCGCAGACCCTCCAGGTGTCCCTCTTTTCCAGGGACAGTCCCGGATTTACAGAAGCCTTCCTGATTTGATCCTGCTTTTCCTTAGGATGTCCCTGTTTTCATATGAGAAATGTTAGAGTTATCCAACCCCTGAGGGAGGCCCCATTAGCTAAAGTGGTACCTCAAGTTAAGAACAGTTTCAGGTTAAGAACGGACCTCCAGAACGAATTAAGTTCTTAACCCGAGGTACCACTGTATTGCTTTTTAAAATATGTTGGAAGCTGCCCAGAGTGGCTGGGGCAACCCAATCAGATGTGTGGAGTATAAATAGTAAATTTATTGTTATTATTATCATGGAATAGGATGTCCCTATTTTCACTGGAGAAATGTTGGCGGGTATGGGGCTGCACTGTTAAGAATCTTTCACCAGTGCTGAACTGAATTAGTAATTCTTGTTGTTGTTTAGTCGTGTCCGACTCTTCGTGACCCCATGGACCAGAGCATGCCAGGCACTCCTATCTTCCACTGCCTCCCACAGTTTGGTCAAACTCATGCTGGTAGCTTCGAGAACACTGTCCAACCATCTCGTCCTCTGTCGTCCCCTTCTCGTTGTGCCCTCCATCTTTCCCAACATCAGGGTCTTTTCCAGGGAGTCTTCTCTTCTCATGAGGTGGCCAAAGTATTGGAGCCTCAGCTTCACGATCTGTCCTTCCAGTGAGCACTCAGGGCTGATTTCCTTAAGAATGGAGAGGTTTGATCTTCTTGCAGTCTATGGGATTCTCAAGAGTCTCCTAAAACACCATAATTCAAAAGCATCAATTCTTCGGCGATCAGCCTTCTTTATGGTCCAGCTCTCACTTCCATACATCACTAGAATTAATAGAATAAATAATTACAACAGGCTTAATTTATGACCCACTATGTTGAACACAGGGATGCGGGTGGCACTATGGGTTAAACCACAGAGCCTAGGGCTTGCTGATCAAAAGGTCGGCGGTTCGAATCCCCACGCTGGGGTGAGCTCCTGTTGTTCGGTCCCAGCTCCTGCCCACCTAGCAGTTCAAAAGTACGTCAAGTGCAAGTAGATAAATAGGTACTGCTCTGGCGGGAAGGTAAATGGCGTTTCCGTGCACTGCTCTGGTTTGCCAGAAGCAGCTTAATCATGCTGGCCACATGACCCGGAAGCTGTACGCTGGCTCCCTCAGCCAATAAAGCGAGATGAGCACCACAACCCCAGAGTCGGCCACGACTGGACCTAATGGTCAGGGGTCCCTTTACTTTTACCTATGTTGAACACAGTCCACCAGCCAACAATCCCCCAGGCACTAAAACTAAGAGGCTCCTTTTCAGTCTTTATTGGGCTGCCATAGATGGCTGATGGACTGCTTTTCACTTGTCAAATGACAAGTCATGCAGGCCTTGTTCAGAATGCAAAACCAGTTGCCAAAGCAGCAATGAATCCCAAATGAATCTGACTCTCAACTTTAGTGTGATGAATTCAGGACAGGAAAAAGATGCAGTGTAAATTCTGAATATCTTTGTATAACAGCTAAGGTTAAGCACCTGATGCACGAGTCCCTATTTTTTTTTATTTTGTTGATGTGTATGTATATATATATATATATTTCAGCATCTCAATTTAATACAAATTGAATTAGTGCACATTTTCTAATCGAGGATAAATAACTGAATTCACTAGCAGCAAGAACAATGTAGACTTTGTTTCTAGAGAGAGCTAACACTACAATTAGCATATGAATACTTTTTTTTTACTCCATAATAAACAGAGCAAAAAGTAGGATTTATTTATCATGTGTCCCCCCCCAAAAAATAATTTATGACATGGATAAAATCACTTGCTTCTTAACACTTTTACATAATAGGAGGATATTTTATTATGCTGTTAATGTCATAATTTGGATAGCTACTAACAAGTGACAATTTGGATGTCAAGATGGGTGCCTGGGGCTGTGGTTTACTGGCACAACCTGTTGCTGAATAAATGGAAATAAAAAGATCTATAAGTAATGCTCTTTCACTTTTGCAAACTTTGTCAACAATATAGGCATTTGAATTAGGTTCGCAAATACAAACAAGCTAGACAGGACTGAAGCACCCTAATCCAGCAATTTGTTATGGAAACGGTGCCTTTGGGGGAAGGAACGAAGGTTGGAAATTAAACATTTTTTTAAAAAATAATAATATTTGTTTAAATTATTATTTTTAAAAGGTTGTGCGTGATTTATAGAAATTGCAATTGATAGCTCAGGCAGTACAGCATGAGATTCTTAATCTTGGGGTCAGGGCTTTGAGCCCCACCTTGGGCAAAAGGTTCCTGCATTGCAGGCGGTTGGAATAGATGACTTTCGGGTCCCTTCCAACTCTAGAATTCTACAACATTTCAACAGTATATAGTGGATTTTCTTCAGTGGAGTTTCTTCAACCCTTCATACTAGGGTTGCTTTCAGACAGCATGCTTATTGAACATTTATCCTGATCCAATGGCACAAAGTTTGCAAAGATGTTAGACAACACTGGCCGTGCAATGAGCATTTGTTCTGATTTATTTGCAGAGGGGTTAGACCAGTGCCTTTTTTCTATAAAAAAGGGTGTTGGTGCGCTTGTGCTCCTTATGGAGAGGGACTAATGTGCTCCAGCCAGCCCCGGGGTGTGGTCACAGCAGCGGCCAACCCCGGAGGGGCTTTCCTCATGCCATGGCTCCCCATGAGGCTGAGCATCTTCACGCGGGACAGGGGGAGGAAGGTGCCAGTATTGCATACCAGTGAGTACCGCCAGAAAAAAAAGCACTGGGTAAGACAATGTTGCGTCAAGAGAATGTCATGCGCATTTTGCAGTGCATTCTCCCATCACTTTCCCTAACACCGAAAGTCTGACTTTTGAGGGAGAAGCAGGTTTGTTGTATAAGAGCACCAAATCCATTTTAATTCTGCAACCTGAATTTCCCAGTTTGTGACCTCCGAAAATGGTAATAATCTGGAAGCACCCTAGTACTGGTACTTTTCCTGTGGAATTGGCATCTTCTATACATTACGGTGGTACCTCAGGTTGTGAATGGGATCCGTTCCAGAGCCCCGTTCGCAACCTGAACGGAACGCAACCCGCGTCTGCATACGCACGGGTCGCGATTCACCGCTTCTGCGCATGTGTGTGATGTCATTTTGCGCGTCTGCACATGCGCGAGTGGCAAAACCTGGAAGTAACCCTTCCCAGTACTTCCGGGTCACCGCGGGACGCAACCTTAAAACGCGCAACCTGAAGCGGACGTAACAAGAGGTATGACTGTATCTTATTTTAGAGAATCCAAACAACATCTTTTTGAAACTGGATAAGACTTATTTCTGAGTAGACATGTTTAGACAATTCACTTTGACTTGCAAGCAAGAAGTTTTTGATAACACGGGAAGAGACTTTTGTGGAATGGGGCCTCTCAGCCACGTGGAGGACAATGCTGGATAATTTTATTCTACTCTAGCTGTTCTGGTGTGGAAGCAACCATGTTTTCCCTTTCAGAGTCATTTAGTGGTGCGAGGCATTGTTTTTGCACAATTAGCTGGAATACGAAAGATTAATTGAAATAATGTATCTGAGAACAGAGGAGTTAATCTCCACTATACCAACTAGTGTGGTTCAGTGGTTAGAGTGGGGAGACCCGAGTTCAAATCCTCACTCCACCACAAAAGCTTAATTGGACAACCTGGGACTGGTTACTATTTCTCAGCCTAATTTACCTTGCATAATTGTTGTGAAGGGCATAAAGGCAGGGACAGTGTACACTGCCCTGAGCAACTTTAGGGATGGATAATAATTACTAGTCTTGGTATAGCTCAGCAGAACAAGTGAGTTTTGTGGAGCAATTTACATGCAGCAGAAGCTGTTCCCGGGATAGGGTGTGACATCTGAGTAGGAATAATGACAGTGGGGGAAAGGGAGCAAAGCTTATGTGTAATAACAATCATTGCCTAATAGACATGGGCATTGTATAGTCCAGTGGGAACCCACTGGTTGTTTTTTCTCAAACATTTTGATTTGAAATCAGCAATTTATGTCCAAATTTGAAAATAATGGAGGAGAGTTTATGTGGGTATTTGTGTTTGGGTTCATGACAGTTACCCACAATGGTGAATTCAGTATAGCTCTGTTTACAGAACTGAGGTCACAAAGGATTACAGT